ACCAAACACAGAAGTCCCCACAGGCGCGTAATGAATAATCATTAGTAAAAGGTCCACAAATTATTGATGTAAAATAAGCAATGATTCTTTTTTTTTGTTTCGCAATTTATTGCCATTAACAAGTAACTTGCAATCCAATAAATGTCAGCTTGGCTTTCAGTTAATTAAAGGGAAAGATATTATACAGTAATGCAGGGTGGCGTTTATATCTCGATTTCCACAGACTGCAATTTACTGCTGAGACTTTATTTGAAGGGACCCACAAATAATGGCTATTAAGCCGTCAGCGGATGGACAGGAGATCACATTAATGAAATTAGATAAGGAGGAATGGTGATCTACGCCGCTCGGCCGGAGCAGACACACAAACCCACGTGTGACACATTAAGACTGCATGCCGTTTTGCTTCTTTCTTTCTTTTTTCCATCCCCCAGACCTGCTTGGACCAGGTTTTTGTTTCCTTCTGTCTTGCCTTCACCTCTTACGCACTTTTCCCCAAACACCGACCGGAGGAGCCCAGCTAGGTGTTCAACATGAGGGCCTGTCAGCTCATCAGGGAAAGTTTCCCCTGTTTGTCGCGAGCACTGTAGGCAAGCCAGTCAGTCCTTCAACCCTGCCATCAACACTGCCAAAACACACACACAGAGACACACGTGTCCAAATCTCCCCCACTAACAGGGAGGTGTCACTCTGGGAGGCAGCTGCACTCGCTGGTGTGACGGCTCTCCTCAAATCAGAGATCCTCGTCCCTGTCAACAGAAACCTGGCCCGGAGGCTACCGCTGTCACACAGCGTGCACCTCTTAGAACACATGCACACACACACACACACACACACACACACACACACACACACACACACACACACACACACACACACACACACATTCATACAAAAACATGGAAAGTGACTCGGAAGAGGTCGATGAGGAAGAGGAGGTGGCTGTGTTCTATCTGGAGAGCTGATTCCCACTGTATTAGGAGAGCGGGGTGATCAGGAAACAGAAGGAGGAAGGAAAGAGGGGGGGGGGGGATTAAGGGGGTGAAGGATGTGTGTTTTAGTTAAAACAGCGGGCCTGATTTCCTTCCTGACAGAGAGGCCCAATTATTAGCTTTGACAGTTTGGGGAAATTGACTGTGAGTGTGATGGGACAGAGAGGAGCAGAACTGATGGGGGGACTGATAATTGTTCAGCAGACAATTTAGTTAGGTAGACATCCAGCTGCAGCGTTCAGCTCACTCTGTTCAGCCGGTGCAAATACAAGAATAATGATTTGGCATTCACCAATAAGTACACCCCATTTTTTTGATAACTATTAACATTTCTATTCTCAGCTTTGCTCAAACCCACTGTGTGTGTGTGTGTGTGTGTGTGTGTGTGTGTGTGTGTGTGTGTGTGTGTGTGTGTGTGTGTGTGTGTGTGTGTGTGTGTGTGTGTGTGTGTGTGTGTGTGTGTGTGTGTGTGTGTGTGAATGATTCGGTCTGTATTTGCGCTGGCAGCAAACATAAGAAGCCCTCTGTGCGATCGGACAAGATGCCAATATTTGAGTCATGTGACAGTGACTTCCTGTCTGTGTGTCAGAAAGCAGCTGAGGGTTTGTCAATACTCACATCCTTTCCTTTCTCCTCCAAACCAGACCAGCTGGTCAACTTTCCTCCTCTGTCTGTTGGTTCTCCAAATTTGAAACTCACCGTATAGTGAGATGAAACACTTTCATCAACTATTTTACCAAAAGAAACAGGACCTGGTCAGCTGAAGGTGGTGGGCAGGCTGAGAGAGTAAATGTGTTTTGCTTTGGTTATAAGAAGCATTAAGTGTGATAGAAAGCACAAAATCATACTTCATGGGTTTGCTTTAATCCAATTTGTGTTATGACTCTGCAGACGGCATGAAAATAATCCTGCAGATGTTTCAAAGAGCAACACTGCCCTCTTGTGGTCAGTTGATGCTATTAAAATGTGTTTGAATTTCTGAACATCATGCACAAATATTCAGCAGTTTTAAAATACCTCAGAACATTTGTCATATCAAACAGCGCATTTTACAGCCAAAACAAAGAGGATTTCATAATCCAGTGTTTGTTTGGACCTTGTTTCTGCAGCACTTCCTGCTTAACATTTGTCATCGATTGCAGCCAAGACCCCATTGGCAGATCTAATTCATTTACAAACCTGTCGCTCCACATCATCGATTGAGTTGTCCTTCATCCCAGCTTTAATTATATGCAAAGATAAAAGATTTTCTCGTTATTGTGTTTAATCTAATGAAAGGCCTTGCACTACAGCAGGGCCTGGGTCAGAGGTCCAGACTATTGACCTTGGAAGGCAAAGCCAAGGGATGACTTTTTTAATTAGACGAAGGAAATAGCTTTGGGAAGGAGGGTCTTAAGTTGTCTGTTTGCTTTGTGGTTTACACACTTTGGTGCAGAGGAGTTTAATAGATCTCTGTCACCTTTATTGATAACAGATCAAAACTTAGGATGCTTAGTGGGTAAACTTCTCTGTGTTTTATTTTCCAAACCAAATTAATAAAATGAAACCTGTAAACTCTTTTCAAACAATAAATGTTACACTGGCAGCTATTGATACAGTCGACCACAAAAAACTTGTGTATTGGTTGCAGCACTGGGTTGGGATTACAGGCTCGGCCCTCCAGTGGCTGCAATCTTATCTGGATAATTCCAGTTCCTGTTTCTTTCAGCTTTGATGGATTGCTGTCAATGTTCTACATGTGTTCGTACTGTCTTGCCTTGACTGTTGCATTCGTGTGTATGCTGATGTGAGTTTGGGTGCAATTGCCCGCCTTCAGCATGTTCAGAACTCTGTTGCACGTTTCCTGACTGGTTCAAGAAAGAGGGACTGCATCACTCCGGTGTTGACTCATCTTTACTGGCTCCCAGTTGAGTACCGGTTATGTCAGGATATGCTCCATATATTTTAATGGGCCCTACAGGGCACTGCGCCTTTGTGCTTCTCTGCAACGAGGTACGCCCCCTCGCGGGCCTCGTGTTCTCCTGACAGAGTTCTTTGATGTGGCACGCTCTAGATACAAGGGTAGAGACAACTGTGGATTTTCTTGCCTCTAACCTCTGGAATGCATTACCTTTGTTTGTGAAGCAGGCACCATCCCTCCAGTCCATCAAGTCTCACTTAACCCTCTGGTGGCAGGCGCAGCAGAACTGCACCATTAAAACCTACCTACCTGGTTAGTCCACATACGTATTTCATGAGCATTTTTTAACTCAGGAGTACCTCTGAAGGACTTAGATGTTCGTCCTTTTATCAAAACTCATTTTGAGCCTGAGGGGGTTAAAACACAGTGTTATCGGTTTTACTGATCAGGTTTTATTGTGTTTCTTGGTCAGTCATCAGTTCCCTTGAGTTTTTGTAGTTAAACTTGGTTTCATTAGATGTACAGTAGTTACTTATTTTTCATCTTTTGATTGGTTTTCTTCAAGTATCTTGTCTTCATTTTATCTATGTTTATCTTTTTATCTTTATTATATCTATTTTTATCTTGTTCCTGTTTTATTGTACTTGTTTGACCGTGTTAGTGTACGGCACCTTGGGCCTCTGGGTGGTGGAAGGTGCTGTGTAACTACACTCGATGACGGAGACAATGATGAAATTCAATCTTTGTTATGTTTTTGCAGCTTTATTGGTAGCCTAAATTTTTACTTTAATAAGTTTAGGTGTTAAAAATTCTTCTATTAAATCTGAACAAATTTTACAATCCTACAAGAATTTGCCTCTTACTGTTTTGTTGCACTTTATTCCCACATCTGCCCAAAATCTTGGAAAGATTTGATGAATTTATCATCAAGAGTCAACAATCAGAATCTGACAACATATGAACAATTTATTTTGTAAACTCACAATAATTTATTTTGAGTGTTAAAAACAAAAGCCTGAAATATTTATCCCTCAATTCAAGTGGAAGTTTGTGCTATTGTGATATTCAGAAGAATTAATGGATGAGCATGCAATAATGATCTAATTATTGTCATTAAAACCTGATTTTTGTGAATAATTACTAGACCTCACCCCACTTATGTTACATTACTATAATAAGTGTGTTCAGTTAATGCACTAATTCAAAGGTTAACCATAAGAGGGCTTTAATGGTTATTTTCTTAAAAAGTCAAAAGAACTGATAAACATCGTCTTATTGATAATGTTTCCTGTGAACACGAGTTCTGCTGTACCACTAGAGGTCAGTGACAGTTCATCAGTCAGCCTCACAGACCATGCAATAACCAGGATCAAGAAAAAAAAGAAGTTATGGTCGAGCTTAGGATTCTGAAACATTATTTATTTTTGCTTTTACTAGTTTTTTGTGTGCAGTCATCTCATTTAGCTTTTATATGGCACTGATTGTAGAGTTATGTTTTATGAGT